ATATATATATATATATATATATATATATATATATATATATATATATCAACCAATTCCTATAACGATTTAAAATGTTTCGTTGTATCGAAATATCGATACAATAAGTTTGGCAATTCTTTTTTAGAGGAGGAGGTCGATATGCGCGTAATACACGGGTATCCAGCGCCGCGACACGATGGACCACCGTGGTCGAACGGAGCGCCATGAAATAGGCGCTATATTTAAGGCATCGCTTTATGAATCGAGCGGGCGGGCACCGATAAGAATACAAATTACACCGTAGGATCGATCATCGTTAGTTGCTGTTACGGTTGTACGCGCGATAAAATTCTGACACGCGTTCAGGATCGTACAGCTCCGGGGATAAGTAGGAAAAATAGGAATTGCGTCGGCATTCCAACGATCGCGCGCCACTACTCGTTCTCCGTGACACTAATGGGCAGGCATGAAAGCCGAGAAATTTACGCGATCGATTTTTTCCCCTAGTTGGCGCGAGATAAACCGCGCAGTCTCGCGCAGTCATCGAATTCGCGGTTCAGCCGATAACGTCGGTGTTCATTAACCGGCACGGCGCGCGATAGAAAACTCGCCCGACAATGTTTCGCGAATCCGTTACGAGATACGCGTTTTCGATAAATCGAGCGCCGCATAAATTTGCCCGAAATACACGCGAGCTAATAAATCCCCCCTCACGTGTTTCAACGCGATTAATCGTACTTTCTCCTCTCGCCTATAAACTCTTCCTCGTTTCCATTTCATCCGCATTCTATAACATACACGAATTCGATCGATGAACAAGGGTTCGTGTCCGCGATAAAAGTACTCACGTAGAAGGAAAGCTCGACTCGATGCGAGTGTTTGGGCACGCAGGTGAGGGCTTCCGACCTGCAACACCCTGTGTCATCCGAGCATCTGTGCAAGATGGCGCAGTGCGGGACGTAGGTGGTCGACGGGCTCGGGTACACGTCGCGAACTGGAATCACCCTCGGCCGTGGCCACTGGCAGCTCCCCTCCCGCGACACTTTGATCGCGTGTTGAAGAGCCTCTCGGATCTCCGCCGCTGGAAAAATTCGCAAGGATTAATTCTTTCTTTTTTTTTTCTTTTTTCTTTTTTTCGAAAGAAAGCGCGGTCGGTAAAACGAAATTCTAGCGACAAGGAAGGAAAAGGAAAGAAGGAAGGAAGATGCGGCGCGACGACAGCTACTCGCCGCGGCTCGATTTCGAAACGAATCCGTAAAGGCACGGTGACACGAATCACGCGAGCTTTCTATTGATTCAACCGCGCGGTTACCTCTAATCGCTTTCTACGCGTTTAACGCGGCGACGATAATTATGATGCCGCGACTATCGCTCGTCGCAATTTGTATGGGCACGGTATTGGGAGAAATTACATTGTATCTGGGAATCGATTAATCACGCAACGGACGGACGGAAATGCGTCGGAAAGAATCCTCTCGCGGAGGATCGTTAACGGATAAAACCGGCCGATAAAACATCGACTCGTCGCGTTACGAGCAGAAGCATTCGTTTCATTTTATTATTAAAAAGCAAATATCGTTGGGATAATTGCGGATTAGAAGTTTTACCATGTTGCCAAGTTTACGATTCGCGTTAAATCATCCGTACAAGTTCGGGCAAAGAGAAGATTCGAACGATTGGAAGGCGACCAACCGAGAATCGAGCCTTTGAATCGCTCGAATGAAACGAGGGTTGTGCGAACACTTGAAACCGCGTTTCGAGGAAACGATCTCCTCCTCGTTATTTCATTCGAGGAAGTTATCTTATCCCTCTCCAACGATCCGAACAATCGACGAAAGTGAGGCTTCCTTTCAGGTAAAACGCCGTTTCGCCCGGGTTTGACGAAACGGTTCGACGATAATTTCAACCCGTAATGTCCCCTTGGCCGAATAAAAGAAACACTCGAGCAGGAAGTTTGGCAAGTGTTGCTCGTGTCCAAGGAATTATTTCTCCCCTGTTTTAATCGCTGCCAAGGATCTAAGGCCGGCTATGCTAATTTTCCAACGTAGCCGTTGCGAGATTATATCGGCGCGTTTACAATAGATACCACGACCGTCACGAGCGTGTTTGAAAAGCACGCTCGCGCATCCCGTTCGAATCCGTATTCGCGAAGGAACGCGAGGGGGATGGATTATTAGGATCCGATTCCTCCAAACCAACGGATCCAAGAGGAGGAGAGTGCATCGGCGGTAGACAGCGTGTCGAAAGCGCGGCAAATCGATTCGAGCGGGCCGATACGAATTGGCACGGGGAGGAGAATACGGTACGATATTGTGTCGTGCGAGAAAGTTGGAGTCGGAGGGCAACCGGGATTGCCGCAATACCCGTAATTAATTTGCATATTAATAGGTCGTCCATGTAAGCGAGCATTGGCGCGGTGATCGAAGAGGAAGAATATCGTCGTATTGGAAACGTGAACGCGGTTGTTGCGCAATCGTATCGGTTGTGCGCACACTTCTATTTATGATATTTCCACTGCTATCGAGGAGATCTGAAAATAGGCAAGAAGAAGAAAAACGAGTAATTTTGTCGATCAGACTTTTTGCTTCCAATTTACATTGGTGGAATATAATAATTATTGGATGGTACTGACGAGATGACCACCATCGTCGATTTAATAACGATCAATAAGGGGGCTGGGAGAGAAAGAGAGGGATTTGGAATATTTGCATAAATCGACAACGTGGAATTTCGATTATGATATTGCCGGGACGAGATGTTTCTCTCCCGCACACCATCTCTCGGGATTCTCCTCTGTGTGCGCGCACTTCCCCCCTCCCCCCTCGATCAAAAAGGTACAAGTACGGGGCCATAAATCGAGACCAACTTACTCTTCCCGCTCTTATTATATTGCTGCATGTTGCTCCTGGTTTCTTTGACGCTCTCTCGAGTGCCCAGAGTCTGCCACTTGTGAACGCTGTGCGCCGACATCGGGGGATAGTCGTTTCTCGATTGGTACCCGTTGTACTGCGCTCCTGTCCCACCACCCTCGTACGCTCTCGGACCCCCATAATCGTAATTCTGCGTAACCACAGGTCTGGCCGTGGTGGTTGTGGTGGTGGTGGTCGTTGTGGTGGTCGTCGTGCTGCTGCTCGACGTCATCCTCGACAGGGTGGTCGAGGCTGGGCTCTCGTCTTCGTTCTCGTCCTCGTCCTCGGCGTAGTCCTGAGAAGAAACAAATCTCGATGAATTATTCCTTTTTTTTTTTTCTTCTCTCTCTCTCTTCGAGAGAAGATTTCGGTTTAAAAACTAAATAAGATTTGCCCGCGCGATAAACCGGAGGGAGGAGAGGAGGGAAAAATATTAATCTCGATGCCTTTTTCTTGGGATCGTGGGTGGGCCAACACCACTCCCTCGGCTTCGTGTGCGTGGCTGTTACCGCGGAGATTTCCTGGCTGAGATAAGGTTAATAAACGAATTTGCATCTCATCGCGACGCGGCATTCTCGGGGGAACGAGCCCGTCCGGAAGGAGAACAGAGACCTACTTAATAGCAGTGCGCAACATCTGGATCCTTTGATCTCGAGCCGCTTAATAGAAACAATCCCTGTGACCGCGTATGCGTATATACACGCGAATCCAGGGAGAATTTCACCGTGGCTCGGTCGACGCATTGCTGCGTTGCCAGCTGCGAGCAGCTCTCGTCAACAACCGATCAACAACCGACACTCGAAACTCGGTGTCAGTCTGCCCGTTTCTTTTTCGCGTGCCACGTACGAGTTTACGAGCCGCTATATACTCGAGATATCCCATTTCGATCGCGCTTGCGCCGATCACGTGTGCGCGCGCAGGCGCAAAAAACGACCTCGACTCACGAAAATTTCATTTCGTTCGCGTATGCAGCCGCCACCACCACGCGCTCGAAATAAATATCTGGCGCGCGGAGTAATCGAACGGAAACGATTCGAAGGCAAAGAAACGGCCGTATGTTCTCGCTTATCCCTTGCCGAGTGACTCGGATCTGATAACGAGCGTGTCGGCGGCAACAGTCGGCGGGATAAAACTCGAAATAATTTATACGAGGGAAACGGTGAAAAGACGGGTGGAATTGACTCGTTCGAGCGTGCGCACAATCCGTCCAATTACTCGAAAACCGATGTATCCGTCGGTTGTGCAACCTCGATTATCGTCGCGTTCTCTCGCCGATACACGCGGTAATTCACCTCTCGCGAAACGGAAAAAGATGGATCTCCTCGAGGAGATTGTTTCGAAAGGTCGGTGAATAACGACGTTGTTATCGCAATTATAGATGCAGCTTCTGTCCGTCTCGCATCGCGATATTTATATATATACGATCGTTTAACATCGTTACGCGTTCCCTCGCGAAAGGAATTTAATCGCTGAAAAAAAAAGAAAAAAAGAAAGAAGCCACAATCTCACCACTCTTTGATCCGAGAGCATTTCGAATCCCCCTCCCCGCCGTACGAACCAGATGAAACGTAAAGATATCGTATCGTCCACCACGCTCTTTGATCCCGTGGAAAAAGCGAATTGGGTCGTGAATAAATTGGTGCTCGGTATACGCATAAACGATACTTATGGGGAAGAGGTGAGATACGAGTTGAATTTAAAAAACGCCTCTCTCTCTCTCTTTGCACGTTCCTACGTTTACTCTTCGAGATCTCATCCTCCACTCCCACTTATACATTTCTCCACTCGTCGAACTTTGTTATGTACACGGATGAGTAAATACGGGGTATTATCGTGCCCGGCCGTGATTAGATACCAACTCTCTGTTGGAGAATAATTAAATTGAATGGTAAACGGTGGCGATAAAACGGCGGTAAAAGGAGAATCAATTTCGAAGAATCGAGCGCTTCGAAACGGCGACGAGTCGAGGAGTCAGGGGTCGAGCGTCGTGAAAATTCGCGATAAAAATTCTTGGACGGTCGACGCGTTGTTTATCCAGTATCGATGGGGGTTTCGTTCGTTCGCCCATTCATTCGCCGAGGAATTCTTCTTACCGACCGATAACCATCTTCCGTTTTACCAATTCGAAGACACTCCACTCGCTCCCATCCGTTTCCCCGGCAATTTGCGAGCATCGAACGGGACGATTTATCGAATTGCTCGATTCGTGCGACGATTGATTTACATTCCGCGAGCCGGGCGGAACGATTTAATGGAAAATTCTTTCGCATCGATCTCGAGATCGCGAACGGAGATCAAGCTGGTTTATATGCATACCGGCCGGGTGTAGGAACGAGCACGGTCGTTAACTGCATTATCGCGCATTGTCTTCGCGCCGCTATAAAATATTAGGCGCGTGTATCTCCCTTGTAAAAAGATCACGGTGTGTCCCGACGTGACTTTTAGGAAAACAACGATTATTACACCGTACGCCTCCATCTTGTTCGCGGAGGTTGAAATGGAACGCGGTATCCGGCCGCCCATTTTCCAAACCGGAAACGGGGCTCGATCGCCCATTTTCGAATACGTTTTCGCAAACGTTGCGAACAATTTGCTAACCGGACCGAATATATCTTAACTCTCTCTCTCTCTCTCTCTCTCCTTCCCCCTCTCGACGTTAACAACCGTATTCCGGCCGCATCTCCTGTTATTAAATATCGGAGCCAGCCATCGTTTTCGGACCGTCGGACCACCCAAATAATCCTAGTCCCGGTGGTGGTCCTCCTCCTCCTCGAAACCCCGTTATTTGCATTATGGAAATTTGGCTCGCGTAAAATCTTCCGCAGAAAAAAGAAAAAACGTCCGTCCTAATTTCTCATTCGCTATTGTTGAATTATTCCCGATGCAAAAATTATTCTCTGTCTCAAATTTATATTCGATGGTGACGTCAAGTGGGTGATCAAAATTGAAAGCGGCGGCTCGAACGAAGGTTAGTCGAGTTTTTCGAAGGGGGGAGAGAGAGAGAGAGAGAGAGGAAGGGGAATGTACGTTACGTCTTCTTTTTAGT